GGGCAGCTGTTGCATGAACCTTACACTGAGTGGTGATCTAATAAATTTATATCCCAGAAAGAGACAGCATGACTCAAAGGAGCCTTATTTTGTACGTTAGATAAGTCAAATGTGGCTAAATTGCTCTTAAATTACCTTTAAATGAGACACTGAAAGGTTACCAATACATAAAAAATGTCTAAAATGTGATAAAAAAAAAACTGCAACACACCACATCTGCACAATCAGGGTTCCCAGAGAATGAATCAGCCCAGTTCTGATTCATTCTTGGAATAAGGCTGATTCATGCCTTATCAGGCATAAATGTCATACCTGTTAAGTAAAGTGCAAAGATTTCTTTGGCTTTGATTTATTTAGCTACCAGACAATTATGACTGATTGAGACCAAAGGAGGTGAAGACATATAAACTTGGTGAAAAATGTTTGCTAAGTTTTTGATTTGATTAATTTTATTATTTCAAGTCATTCTTCTTTGGAATTGGACCTGCCTTAGAGTGAACTGCAGTAGCTGTTTCTTATTGCCCCCATCAACAGTAGAAAATGAGACATTTTTAATTGTATTTCCAGAGAGTTCAGCTTTGTTTTTACAGTCATTAGCAAGGTTTAGCATCTTAACATGCTAATCCAAGGTGATGATTCAAGAGGTTTCTACCCACCTATAAACATTTAGTTTGGCCTCGTCCTTACTCTCCTCCTTCTTTCTTCTCTGTGTTGAATCTTGTTTTTTATGCTTTCAGATGGAACTGGCCACAGCAAAGAGTGACATGAACAGACATCTGCATGAGTACATGGAGATGTGCAGCATGAAGAGAGGCCTTGATGTTCAGATGGAGACCTGTCGACGGATGATTAAAGGCGGAAGGAACTCTCCCTCTTTCAGCTCTGTGGCCAGCAGCGACTCAGGGAACACAGACGAGATCCAGGATGAGATTTCGGACAAGGACGCAGAAGCTGAAGTCGCCGTTAGTTGATGACTGCATTGCTGGGCTTTGTCCCATCTCCACTTGTCTCCCCGCCCCCGGTTATCACGGGATTTAAAGGCCCGGCTAGAAAGGCGGACCAATCTAAATCTGGGCCCTTTTGACCTACTAATTAAAGTTCTCTCGGTCGTCCTCACTGGTGCAGACCCAGAACTGGTGCTTTTATACTATTTCTGTTGTTTAGAAAGTGGTGGTGGGGGGGGGACGTCTTTGCTTGGCAAAGAGATAAAGAGTGCGTAAAGAAACCATGCTGTGCTCTCTTCCTCACTGCTGCCTCGCTGGATCCTCGTCCAGAGCTTTAAATCATTTTTGGGATAAGAAGAAGAAATGTTTTAAATGGGCCGAAAAGTTTTTTTTCTACCCTATTACGATCCTTTATTTCTAAAGGAATTGACAACAGTACATATTGTGCTCCTTGTTTAGTCGAGAACGAATACGTTATTCACCAAAAATATATCCACCTTTTACATTTTTGAATATTTATTTTAGATTCCAAAATGTTGGGTCTCCTTAATTTGAACATTTTATATTATTATTTGAGCCCAGCTGGGCTACTTGCAATCCAAATTAAACTGGGGATTTGGGGAGTTTAAGTGTCTTCTGCTGGGGAGACAAAAAGAAGTGGAGACAAATTATGTTGGGTTTTCTGTTGGTTTCTGAGGGAACTCTGCAGGGTTTGCCAAAGCTGACAGAGGAAAGGAGCACAGCCTTTTGATGCATCAGTGCACTACTCAAGTTCTATGCAATTTAGCTGGCCTTATTTTTTGGACTGGCTTTCACCCTTCCTTGTTTTTCTTAAGACCCCTAGCCTTTTAAATAAAGCAGGTGTTTTCTATATATCAGTTTAAGAACTTGTGTTTATGTATAAAAATAATCTTAGTATCAGACGTTTGTTGTCGTTTATTTTTTTCCTTAACATCAGTAGTAAAACAAACTGGAACAGCGTCTTGTGACACCTTCATTCATGGCAATAAGCGCTGTAAGCATAGGTTAGATGTTATCCTGCTGAAGCTGTTCAGATTTACTTTGTTTAGGAGACGTTGTTTCTGTCCTGTGCACTTTGTGCACACTAAGGCGGGTCATTTAAAATTGGATCACATCCAGAAGTTCTATTAAAAGTTATCGAGTAAAATGAATCATCAGTGTAATCAAAGCCAAACAAGTTAAAACCAAAGGTCACATCATAAAAGCGCTTCCCTTTCACATACGTCTAACACGTATACATTCAGTTCATTCATGTGCTTTAGTAGGAAGAAGTTTTTGTTGTTACACGTGATTTCGGTTTAACTCCTGATTGTAGACTATTTCATGCTGTCCTGTAGTCAGGTTGCACATCCTGCTTTGTCTCTCCTGTATTGGGGCTAGAAACATCAGACCTTGCATAGAGGGCTGTAGGCATGTGATCGTAAACCCCAGAGGCCTTTTCTGTGTTTGTTTTATTTTGTAGTTGTCTTTCTGCAACAGATTAAGATGTCTCGCACTCACAAGCTGACTGACGCATGGGGACAGAAGTGATCTTTTTATCGCCTCTTTGTATGATAGTATATGTACGGTTTGCTAGATCACAGATCAAGTGCTACTTCTATTTTGAAGTTTTACAGAAACAGAATGTTAAAATACTGGCCTTTTGTTGTTTTAGCATGCTTGTGGGGGTAAAAGGAGCTCTGGGTCTTTTTTAAATAACATTATATTTTGAATTTTAAAAAGCTGCAATGCAGACAATGCGCTATGTTTTTAATCAAGACAGTGTCTCTGTAAAATGTATTCGCGGCAGAAAGAAAGTGTGTTTTTCACCGTTTTTAATCGTTCTGGGTTAACTGCAAAAGGTGTAAACTGTGTTATGTTGCCATATTCAGCTGTTTTTAAACTAGTTCCATATGTTTTTGTGGTCATTTATTTACCACAACACAACACCCATACTAAAACAAATTGACTATATCAGACAAGAGTGGGGAGCAGCCTTACTCACAGAGAAAACATCATACTCTTATTGCTGATAAATAAAACCAGCCTGATAAGCATCAAAGAGCCATTGTTTTACTGGGACTGTACACAGAGCATCATTTTGACATGCAGGAAGAGCAAGTCCATAACAACAAATGACAGTGTTTCACCCCACTGTCGCCATCACACTAACCAGCCAATCAAAGCAAGCGTGTACAGTAACATGACAAAGACATATATCAAGCTCTGAGTCCTACTAACTCGGGAAAGTTGCGCAGCCTTAGTGTTTGTACCACAGATCAGTGTCAGTTTTCCACAGTTTGGAAAAATGTGTTGTTTTTTTTCCATAGTCAGCCATTCTTGCAAACCATTATTATCACCTTCCCGTCACTTTGAAGCAGGTTGTAGTTCAATCGGTTGAAAATGCTGTAGCAACTCTCTTTGTTGAATGTAGCTTGAGCAAAAACAAAAAACATGTAGCTGTTATTTAAAAAAACAACCCAGGGATACATGGTGTGCTGTTTGCTTATTGGAGACCTTGTTATGTTTTGGTGTACTTAACAGGTTTTTAAGCTGACCGACTCACAGTATGTGGTCTAGATGTATGTAAATTAGGTCCTGGTGGATGTGAATGTTTCATACTAATAAAGGGGTTTTATACGAGCGGTTTTTATCTGCGGGACTATGTGGTTGTGTTAATTGTCCTGTCAAGTTTTACACTACATACCTGTGTTTGCTGTTAATATCATTATTAACCTCATAGACATGGCAGAGTGATAAAGAGCAGCCGTACTAAGGTAGAATCTGCAGAGCTGTAGTGGTTACTGTTACTGGTCTTTGTGTTTCATTTGCTTCAAAGGTTGCATCCTGTTGTTTCAATTTTAAGTAGCTGATTTTATTTACTTCAGTTTGTTTTGTTTGGATTTGTACATTCTTTATTATTATTATTATTATAATTATTATTGTTTGCTTAAACTATTGAAACAATGTATTCATGTGGGTGGAGGGCTGATTCAGTTTCAAAATTATGAATGTACTCAATTGATATTGGGATAAAATGGAATAAAAGGGTGTATTGGATACAGAGGCTATTTTGACTTTCTGAATATATCTATATATATCTATATCTATATCTATATCTATCTATCTACATATAGATAGATATATAGATAGATATAGATATATAGATATGTTTATTGATTGATTGGGTTTCTTGTTTTTTTTTTTTTGAAATAGACTAGATTGCACTGTTCAAGGCAAGTTAATAGACAATATTTTTTAAGTTGCTTTTGTGTCTGTTGGTGTACTAGAATATTTTGGAAAGACTGCTTTTTACAATGAAATCTGTGCCACCAAAAACAGTTTTTGAACACACTGATTCATCATAAGATTTCAAAAAAGTATGTTACTACTGGTTGAAGCATCTTTTAATTAAAGTGTAGAGAATCTTTTGGCAGTTTAACATGTAACATGGACTAAAAATCATAATCATAATCAAGCAGAGAAGCAAAGTTTTAAGAAAAATTTACATAATTAAGGTGTCCTTTCAGTCCTATTAGGGTTATTTTGTCACACCCTTAAAGGACACTTCATTAGGTACATCTTGCTCATACTGCATTGGGCCTCATTTTGCCTTCAGATCTACATAAATTCATAAAGTTGCCGCAGATTTGTCAGCTGGACAATCAACCTGTCAACTTAAAATAGTCTACCCATTCTCTATGAAATCCAGAAACTTTGTGTAGATGATCAGTTTCTCACAGAAGCCTGACTAAAACAACAACTGTCACAGTGGCCTACAAGTGTATACTGTTAGAATGGTGGGTGCTTATTTTAAACATGGGATAAGTTATAAATAATGAGGTCAAAATATGTTTAAAAAAAGCATTCAGGCTGCTCTGAACGTTTTTTCTATTCTTGGAGTTGGAGTCAGAGACATCCTCATGATATACTGTGATCTGTAGTAACACAGCTCTGGTTGTGATAACTGAAGCCTCACGCAGCGGCTGTTCAAATATTGCATTTGGAGTAAAAGAATAAAAGCATGGAGCTGCAAATGAGCAAAACAGGTCATTGTGAAATTACTTTATTCAAACTAGTCACAGAGAACATCATATCACCAATACCAGATTAAACTGCAGTTCTTTTATTCTGAGCAATGTGATCTGCTGCTAAAGTTAAAAAACAAACAAACATACATTTAAAAATGGCACTCGTGTGTTCTTGGGTGATGTTTAAATATTTATTATACAGTTTAATGGAAGTAAACATAGTAAAAGTAACATTAAAAATACAAAAGATGTGTTTTTAATAAACTCATCTTATTTAAACATATTTTCTTTCTAAAATGCTTCAAAATTGTGTTTTTAAAGAGAAATAAAAGTCATGGCACATCTTTTATGCAACTTCTGAATAAAAGTTTAGATTTAGTCGAGTAGGAGCTGTATTGAACAACCAGTTTACACAAGTTTGACTGTTGCGGGTGACAACCAAGAAACAGAAGTGAGAATTTAAACTCAATCGGTTCAGTCTTTGCACAGTGTAAGTGCAAATAGTAATAGATGACATTATGTCTTATATCTGTCTTATTTCATCCCTCCACCTCGAGAAACACGATTCTCTTGGCCACGTTCTCCTCGCCGTATTTCTCCTGCAGCCGTTGGATGCCGATAGGCTCAGCCGAGAGCAAAAGTCTGTCGTCACAGCGATTCCAAAACGGTCCCGAAATGGAGGAGGGATTCAAGAGCAGGTCTTTTGCAGCAGAAAAGTCTCCGCTGGTCTTAAGTAAAGCTTTGGTCACACTAATTAAGTCCTACAAGAAAAACAGCAAAGGTTAAAAATGACTTAACACAGAGAAAGCTGCAAGTTCCACAGTTAACCCCTTTATATCTGAATAAGCAAAATAAAGGTTGAAAATAATGGAGAAGAAAAACAACACCTCACCTTATCTGTCTGGTTCATGAGGCCTCTGATTCGCAGCTTGTCCTCCTCTAACAGGTCCTGAGTCAGAGAAAGTGCAGCATCTTTGTTCACTGTTGACTGTGGTTCTGAAGGAGCTGCTGGACGGTCACTGCTGACAGACTGAGAGTCGTCTTCCTGAGGTTCACTGTCGAATATGAACAGGTGGGCCTTGGAGGTACCGACAGCCTCGGACACTACAGGCTCAGCAGCTGGTGGCAGGCAGCTTTTCTCAGCTGCACAGTTGTTACTAGTGGCCTGGGCCTGTTCCACATCACTCAGAGGGGTCTCAGTGGGTCCAGGTTTAGTGCAGGACTGTTTGGAAGCGGGATCTGGAGTTGTGTCTGCAGGTGGAGGATGAAGGGAGGTCGATATAGCTGCTGTTTGTGCAGGGTTTTGGACATCTGGAGCTTCGAGATCATCAGACTATGAGATACAAATGTAACTGTGTTAAAGAACATATATAACACAGAAAAGTATTATAAAAACACTGAAAAACAATGAAATACTTGAATTACATCATGTACAGAGTCGAGCTACATGTAAAACAAGAAACAACACAGTGTAGCAGATGTTGAGAGTGCAGTTAAATGAAAACAGGAACTTTCATGTGTGTAAAAGAAGCAGCAGAAGCTTTTGTGGTCAATAACCAGCAAAGAATCTAGAAACTCTCTTCTATGGCTTCATGCTTTAAATCAGAACTATCATGTGGGGCCTGTGGTTCTCTGACATCCCACTATTTACAGAAAAGTATTTTACTACAATTACAATCTGTTAAAAATTTCAAATGGAATGCTTCTATTGTCACAACTCCTATTCAATTTCAATTCAATTTGATTAATAGTAAAGACCCTACAATAATATATAGGATCAGAGGATACAATCAGAGGATCCACTATTTTCAAGCATTTTGGCACTTGTAGAAAAAACATTCATACTGAATGTTACATTTTTAGGTCACAGGTCCATAAAGCCCAACAGGAGACACCAGCACTCCCAATCAAACTGGGAATCAAGAGTGGGAACTGTTGCATGCTGAGGCACTGAGTGGTGATTTTACAAAGTGTATCAAAACCAGCATCCTACCTCACTGTCATCTTCAAACTCCTTTGTTGCCAATTCAAGAATCCCCAACTTCCTCTTCTCTTTCTTCTTTTCTCCTTTCTGAGGCACTGGATTGGTTTCATCTGAAAACCACAAAAAGTATAAGAAGTGTAAAAAGAAGGGTTGTAAAAAGAATGAAAACGACTCTTTGTGTCATGACATACCTGCTTGTATTGTTTGAGATATGGCTGCGGGTGTACTCTGCTCCTCGTCACTCTCTGCCGCTGCTCTCGGAGTTTTTCCTCTGGCTTTCTTGGGAGCCGGCTGGTCTGTGGTCGTATCTTGTTGAAGAGCAGACTTAGTTTTTTTCAGGGGCTGGGGAGATGATGTGGTTCGCACTGCTTGGGTTGATGATGACCTCAGTTTTTTGCCGTACGGTTCAAGCTCAAGCTGCCTGCGAGTTGTTCGACGCAACGGTTGTTCCAGCACCGGGGAGGCCTTCTGCTTCTCTTTTGGCTTTTCTGATGAGGGACATTTGGGCGTGGGCTTAGGCTGAGCTGGTGTGGAGTCATCCCCTGACAAACTTTGTTTTTGTGGGGAGACAGGCTGAGGTTCACCTGTTTCTGCGTCTGTGGTCTCTGCTGTTAGCAGTTGGGTCTCTGCCTGTAGGTCCGCACAAGGCGCCGCAGTTTGAAAGGACTGAGATACTTCGGCTTCTAGAGTTTCTGATTGTTTGCTTTCAGTTTGTTGTTTATCTGTTTTCTGTCTCACATGTTGCTCTTGGTCTTGGTCTACATTTTCTGGTGTGCTTCCTGTTTGTACTAACTGGACATCCATCTGTGGAGACACCCATTTCAGGTTATGTCTTTACAGCAACTATAACCTCATACAGCACCCTTACAGCATACAAGCAGTGATTTCCCACCTGTGTTAGGTCTGTTTCTGAAACATCTTCTTCACAAGAAGATTTCTGAGCATCTGTCTCTTGATGCTCTTCCACCTAGAGGCAGACAGAGGAAATGAAAAGCTTCAGAATTAAAGTCTATTAAAAACGTGACTGCCAGCAGCCTGAAAATATGTCAAAGCTGAATTTGGTTAGTCTGATTTTATTTAACCCACTGCTGCCACCCAGTGGCAACTCTTTGCTCTACACCCGGTAAAAATGTTCCAGATTTTTATTAAAGCTTCGAGAAGTTTAGGAGGTAGCTTGTGACCTATTTTACTAGACGTGAGAGATTTTTTTTTCCTTTTCCTTCTTTTTTTTTTTCTTTTTACAATAAAGGTGTTTTAGTAAAATCAACAACAGGATTCTAATGTAAACACAGGTAAGACGGTTTAAGAATGCTGATGAAACCAGAAGTAGACACACTGTAAAGTTCACAAATGGGATGTGTTCGAGGACTAGAATTTGCATTTTGTGTTAATTGAAGTGGATAAAAAACAATCAATAATATCTCATATAGAACAATATATATAACAACATAGTACAGCGGTCCCCAACCCCCGGGCCACAGACCGGTTTAGGCTTGTGCGTGAAATTTATGGTTTTCAGGGGTTTTTTTTTAATCATTATTCTTTATTGTTTTTATCGTTAACTCGGTTTCCCTGGGTTGTCTCCCGTGTGTTATGAATAAATCTTCTTTTTTTTTGGTACCAGGTTTATTTTGTTGTATTTATCCGCGACACCTTAAAGGCTGGTCTGTGAAAATATTGTCGGACATAAACCAGTCTGTGTGTAAAAAAGGTTGGGGACTGCTGATACAGTATATACAATATTCAAACCACAAACATGCTACAGAGGAATTCCCTCATTTTTGAACGAGTTGCTCAGTTTGTCGGCGCTGACCTTTCTCCTGTTCACAGACACCCAGCTCAGTCTCACCTTTACTCATATTCATGTTTCTGACTGCATCCACATGGTGCTGTGTAAGACTTTAAACAATCATCCAAAGGATTAAAAATTCGGAATTTTCTTATCTGGTACATCTCATCCTGCTTTACAGTCATAATGTAGATTCTAATATCATTTTGCCTGTCAGTCGTCTAATGTTAGTGGATGCTGTTGTCACTGCTGTGATGTAAATATGTTGATATTTTGGATACAAATAACAAACTTTGTTCAAATGGAACAACACTGGTTTAAAAACGGTTTACTTACTTTTACTTAGCGTCTCTACGTGGGTTCTTTTACTAATAAAGCCACTTTCTGCTGCGTCCTTATTCACAAGGATTGCCACAGTTGGTAGCGCTGCATGTTTGCACTGGCTGCCTTTCCTGATACAACTCCAAAGGGATTTGTGTCTCCTCCCAGGATCAAACTGGGACTCTTTCACATGTTAGGTTTTTAAATCTCTAAATGGTCTGCCACCTGCTTATTTATCTGATTTGTTGAAGCCCCATGTCCCCGTTCATTCGCTTCAGTCAGCTGAGCAGCTGTTGCTTTCAGTCCCTAAGTACCGGCTGAAACTTAGAGGAGACTGAGCGCTCTCTATTGCGACTCCGATGCTTTGGAATAATCTTCCTCTCCATATTAGCTACATCAGCGCCAGTTTTTAAATCCAGATTAAAAACCTATTTTTATTCCCTGGCTTTTAACTCTGTGGGCAACTGACATTTTTATTAATTTTATTGCTATGTTTGGTTTTTCCTATTGTATTACTATATTTATATTTGTATTCTACAGCACTTTGGTCTACCAGGTGTGTTTTTAAAGAGCTATATAAATACAAGGTTCATACGCCTTTTTCAGGGTCAAATTCAAGCACTTTTTAAGCACCCCCAACAGAATTCATGTTTCAATTTGCATCACCTCAGTAAGACCATGTGAAAATTAAAACAAATCATCCTAGGTGAACTTAAACACCTTTGTTCCCCTTTTGTTAAGACATAGAAAAACGCACCACACAAAAATACTGCAAATGCAAACCCTCTGGGGTCCGGGGTATAATTGGCCATTTTTGACTACTTGTGATTTGGCCTCTATATTTCACCTTTAAAAACTGTTTATCTTGCCAATCTGTTATTTTCTGATTTTGACATACTGTATTAGCACAATTTATCTAAATTCAGACAAAATTTAAAATACGAGTAGAAAGTGATATTTTTGACTGTAAAAACCGCAAGCATGTTTAACGAATCATTTTCATAACTTGAAATGCAAATAGAAATTGTACATTTTTAAAAAATATGCACAAGTTTTGCAAACAACAAAGTTATATGGTACTATTTACCTAAAAATGCAGCCAAGGCTCAGACGTTTTTTATATAACCATTTAAAACTATTTACAGAACAATCAGGTGTTCTGCATCAAATAAGAAGGCCCACAAATTATTTATGCAACTCCAAAAAATAGTTTGTGTCAGTATAACACAGATGAGAACAGCACAGGGATAAACCTGCAGGTCTGACAGCAGGTGTGTCACTCAGCGTTTACACTGCAATCTGCCTTTGGTGGCTTTTTTGCAGCAACTGTGACATTCACTAGTAGAACTGACACACAAAACAAAACAACGACTACAACACACACTAACTACACAAGACAACACACTAACTTGAGACTCCAAACACGGGAAACGTCACAAATCTCTCCCGTATCAAAACTCTCTCTCTCGCCGGTCACTCCTAAAACTTGCCCCTAAAAAACCCCCAAAAAACAAAAAACAAAACAAAACTTGCCCCTCTTCCCAAACAACCAAATGCCACATGTTGCCATATCATTTTTTGATTGGTCGACATGGTACATTTTTCCACCAATAGGGAAGGAGTACTTTTTTCTTTTTTCACTCAAAAGCAAAGCGTGTTTGCTAGCACTCTCCATAGAAAACGCTGTTTCTTAGCGGAGTAAACGCCACTGTTTTATTCAGAAAAACAAACATCGGTTTTACTATCAACACAATTTAAAAACTGGTATATAGTTTGAAGTCCGCACATTCGACCCAAGTTGAAATGGAGACGCTGGGTCCGTCGACCCCAGAGGGTTAATCAGAAAGCCATAAGTTGGCTAGTTATGTATCGGGCTAATGTTTAAAGCTTTCACTTGAGTAAATTAACTCATATTACTGCTAAAAAATGTTAGCTAAGTTCACAGCATATTCCATAATAGCGCTGCCATACTGCATCACACTCAGTGCATTTCAATCATTTCTCCAGCGAGTTTGATAGCTAGCAAAAATAATAATCATAATTTTAAAAAATAGCATTGTAACGTACACCGACTGTCCGAGGGAGGGGCGGGGTCACACCTTGAAACAGACGCAAGGCATCCCAGGCGGGGAAATTTTGCTTTTACATTTTGCGACTCATTTTATTTCTCTATCGAATAAGAAAACTATTCAATCAGATAGTTATTTGTAGTGAATGAAATACACTTTCAAGCACTTTTAAGCACCACATCTGAAATTCAAGCACTTTTCAAACCTTGAAAAGACAACATTAAAATTCAAGCATTTTCAAGGATTTCAAGCACCCGTATGATGTGCTCAAATAATAATAATAATAATAAGCGATGATGATGATTAGGCAAATGTGTAAGCCATTACAGTAAGGAGCCACTTTCTGTCACTGTCTCTGTCACTTACTAAATACTGTTTTAATTTTATGATGTCGTGGAAATAGCCTGTGTATTTAAAGTCAAACTTTACTTTGAAAATTCTAACTAAAAAAAACAAAGCAATAGTGGAAACAGACTAACATATGACAAAAAACACAACTAAAAATAACAAAATCGTAACGACAACATCCAGATAGTTAATCACCTCTGTCTTTTCTTCTGCTGTCTTACTGTCTTCTGGCTTTTCCGCCTCCACGGCGGCTGTCTGTTTCCTAGCCAGTTGTGCTTTGTAGCGGTGTTTCATCGACTGCCAGGGGTGTGCGGTCACATGCTGTTTCTCCATCTCTTGCCAAAGCCGGTTTCCCCCAGTCTCCGTCTTGTGCTTGCTGACATAATTTAAAATGGCAGCATCTTCTTCAGGAGTGTAGGCACTTCTGCCTTGTTATAAAAGAATGTAGACATAATGTAGAAAACGGAAGCAGATTTAACTATCCACCAGATTTACACACATTTCTAATTGTAACTTGTAAACAATTCAAGTAATAAAAAAAATGTAATCTGTAAAGTGCAGACGTGTTAGAACACAATCCTTCAGACATGGAAAGTCGGGGGTTTAGTCGTACCTCCTGTGACTTGAGGCGAACTGTTTTTGCTGTTGTTGAGTCTAGCAGAATGTATTTGGCCCTTTTCAGGATTTAGCCTGTAGTCCTCTAAATTCAACTGTTCATTCTTCTCAACACAGTCATAAATATACTGGGTGGACACGTACCTGAAAAGTAAACAAGGCATATGTAATAAGACTTCCAGCTATGCTCCAGTGCTGCTGTTGTGTGTGTGTGGGATTCATAAGATATGAATCATAAATGGGTTGAATAAATTTATCACCACCAAACTAAACTGAAGAAGCATTTTCTTTTTTTTATCTTCTTCTTATTGACTGAAAAAAACCCCAACACATTTCTTTAAAAGTAAACACCTGCCAATATTAACATGAATTCTCAGTTCAGCACGTACCAGTGTGCAGTGGATTCAGGAATGACACTTCTGTCCTCAGGATCAGTCAGCAGTATTGCTTCTGGTTGCTGGACGTTGCACAACATTCCTCCTCCAGCTGAAACCAGCGGCTGGAGTTTGCGTTTGATGGGACCAGGTCGCAAGAAGAAATTCATCGGTTCACCCTCCACAGTCATGAAGAGAACTGGAGAGAAGGCAGGCTGGGCCACAACTTGTCTTTGGGATGGCATCTCACCTTCTGGAAGAGATTCAATAACAGCCAGTACTATAAGTGTGCTACATGGATGTGATGAGTGTGAAATTCTGGACCAATAGCAACTTACATTTTCTGTATATTTTAGTTTTAGGTTGTTTTTTTTGTTGCTGTTGTTATTAATTCCCTTTTTTGCCAGGAGGAAAAAAAAATTAGATTATTACACAATGATTTGTTAATTTTTTAGACTTGTCAAGTCTTCCATTTCTTTATCACACACAACAAATAGAGTTCATGGCCAAAGATAAATATCTTATTTAAAATTGGTCAATATTGGCAGTATATTGATGCATCACTATTCTGTTAACAGTTACACAATTTGTGATCTTTTTTTTTGGTCTTTATATACACAGTCAACTAGGCAACTTTTATAGTCAACACATATAAATCATCTACCTAATGAATGTCAAAATTTTTAAAATGTTTTATTCTTACAGCAATGACTCAGTTTTAGGACTGTCTCATGCAATCATGTCTTTTACTAGATACCAAAAGAAACCAAAAACAAAAACTAGTTAAGTGTGTTTCACAAAGAGAGGCTTGACACTGCAAGTTCAAATTAAGTGTTAAGTTCAGATATCGTGGGGTCACACTGGACTTAATTTAAAAGTCAAGCCGAAAAGTTAATATCAATCGTTATATTTAATTTCTAAAGTCTTACATTAATTGGGCCATTTGTGGCTCTCATTGCAACCAAGATGCTTCTATTTATTTAATTCTATTATATTTATTTCTTTGTATTTAATTTTTTGAGCTAAAATTAAAAAATAACTATGCTTGTTTTATATACAAAGGTTTTGTGTGTACAGTATTTGCCCACTTTCTCTTTCGTTATTAAAAGGCTACCCACCATAGCCTTTTGAGGTGGTGGTAATTAAATCACCACTAAAAGCCTCTTTTCCATCCAGCTATCTTTGCACATTATATGCCGATTTCTAACCTTCCTTCAATTTCAAAAATTCTTGATAGAGTAGTTGTCATCAACTGTTTATTTGAAGGGTTCCAGTCAAGATTCAGAAAATCTTAACAGTACAGAAACGGCACTAGTGAAGGTTGTGAATGATCTTCTTATGGCTTTGACAGTGGATTCATCTCTGTGCTTGTTCTGCAAGACCTCAGTGCAGCATTCGACACTGCTGATCACAATATTTTACTACAAAATGTGGGTATGAAAAAACTGCACTGCAGAAATTTAAATCATATCTATCTGATAGATAGACAGTTAGTGAGGATCATCACTGTTTACTTTATACAGACTTCCCTTAGGTAACATTATTAGAAAAGACTTTCTTACATGACTACTTACATTTATTTTAATGCATTATTGTAATGCAGATGATACCCTGCTTTAATTATTCATGAAACCACATTATACAAATCTACTAGAAAAAAAAAGTACAGGCATGTCTTAAAGACACCAAGGCCTGGTTTCAATTCAGATCACTACAACAGTTGCAGGTAACCACTAATTTCCTGCTTTTAAATTCAGACGAAACTGAGCTTTATTGTACTCGTCCCTAAAAATCTTAGGAACATGGTGTCCAACCAGATACTTATTCTGGGTGGCACTATTTTAGCCTCCAGTAACACCGAGAGGAACCTGGGCATCATTTTTGATTAGGATATGCCCTTTAATGCACGCAGTAAACAAATATGTAGGACTTCTTTTTTTCCATCTGTGCATTAGCTCTAAAATTAGAAACATCCTGTCACTGAGTGATGCTGAAAAGATATTTCATACATTTATTACTTCTTGCCTGGTCTATTGTAATTCATTAATATCTGGTTGATCTAAAAGTTTTACTTATGGTTCCTAGAGATGGACAAACTGCAAGTAAAATTAATACTGAAATAGCCCTTGTGGGTGTGTCCTGCCATCTCTCCAGCCTTCGTGCCACCTTTCTGTGCAGCAGATTCTACTCAGTAATTAGGCTAGAGTACTTAAAGTCAGACTTGTACACTTATGTGTGTATTTACTACACTTCAGATCAGTAGAGCGGTATGGTGTGTTTTTGCATCGTTTAACCATTTTAACTTACTCTGTTTGGACCAACTTTCAGGTTTTGTTATGGTCATCCTTTTTGAAAGGTGACAGCAGCTTGTCCATGTCACCTTTCAGTTTCATTATTGGAAAAAAAAAACAACGATTTTGTTGCCTCATTGTTTCCTTTTTGTCACTTACCCCAAACCCCCTGGACATTTAGGCGGGCCTAACGCTAAATGTAATAAAGGAGTGGTGTACCCATCATAATTTAAGGCACATCTCCAACAGTAGATGGTGGCTAATCAGATCTATATACGTTCATTTTAAGACTTCACACTACATTACTTTACTTATCTATTGTCTGTTATGAGTTGTATACTTGTATATTTTATGTAATCTGCCTACGGATTTAAATGAACTGTTTTGCTTATATTTGTATAATTTCCAACATCCATTGTTCGTGCTGAATTTATTTAAAGGTTTACAGTGTTCAAGCTTGGATGAAGCAACTTTAAAATGATTATTTAGTGAGATGGTTGTTTGTTTTATTGATTTAAGTGGGTTCTTGGTATAGTAAATATACAACAACATCTATTTTTGTGTTTATGTTTGTATTTTTTGTTGTAGTTTACAATATAAAACGGTCACTTAAATTCACTGTGAGGTCGTTGTGGCTGATTTTCTTATAAGGGAATATTATAAAATAAAATCAACCGGAAACTATGCAAAGCTGGACAGATTCATCCAGTGTAAAAATATGAGGCACAGAAAACGCTACGTGCACCGCTGAGACACGTTTTTCAGGCTCACATGAACAGCAGGGAGGAGGTGTGTAACATCGCTAGCCCATCAAATGGCAAACTGTAAAAAGAGCAGTCGCCTAAATAAATGTCATCTTAGATTAGAAATAATATTTTAAACTTACCGTGCACTTTGCCTTCTTCCTAGCTAGTCTTTCCCGCCCCAGAAAAACATCAACGCTCACTTCCGGGTCTTTTTCTTCCTTGTTGAATTGTTAGAGGTTAGAGGCTCCGTATCGCCCCCACTGGTCGCATCCATATTATGCGGTAAAGGAAAAAGTACGTAAAGAAGTAAAAGTAAGTAAAGATCTTGTGAAAATCCTCATTTATAAGTAAGGAAAGGAAAATATACACGTTGTTGTGAAATAATACTTAAAATATCATAATGATACTGAAAATTATACTCATATAATTATAGCTGCTAAAGTAGAAGGTCAAGAATAAAAAGTAAACAACAACAATAATAATAGCTTTATTTGTACAACACTTTTCAAAATATGGAGTTACAAAGCCAGACTCAACCACATTAAAGCTAAGTATACACATTATACCATACAGACTAATAATCAACCCCAGGATCACACATTCATTCCAACACTTCCATACAGGCAAATATTAGTAAACTATGGCCTAAAATAGTTGGGAATGAGTAAATGAGGCTGTTCCAAAGTTTAAGGTTACAACCTCAAAAGTGTGATTGAAAGTAAGACAGTGGGAACTTGATGATATTGTCTGAAAAGCCAGCTGCAGTCATATGGTCTCAGTAGCTTTACAGTCCATGTAGTGCTTCATATGTTTATAACAGAATTTTGATTCTGAATTTCACTGGGTGACAGTGAAGTGAAGCAAGAATAGGTGTGATTTGTGAGTTTCTATTTGTATCGTGCTGCTGCATTCTGGAGATGGGCTATGGAGGGCTGAGAGATCTACGTGAAAAGTGAGTAAAAAGGTGAGAGAAAATGAAGATGTACACACAAATTTCTGGATGATTTATTGAAAGTAAAGGTTTGATATTTTGCATTTGAAATAGATGAAGGAAACAAAACTGGATGAGCTTAGAGATGTGAGATTAGCACATATAGTGAAAAACGCAATGTGTTTCTTAGATCAACTGTACTAACCAACCAAGATTTTCATCACAAAGCAGTTGGTAACACTGAAGTGAAGTGGAGTAAATATTCAATTTGTCACTCTGAAATATATTGGTAACAATAATGTATAAATGTATAAATCATGAATTCAATTTTGCACAAACGCATTTAATATATATGTAACTGCATTTTTTCAGTAAATGTGTGGACTTTACACATGAAAAAGAATGGTTTATCTGCCATTAGCTCTTCAGTAGAACTGCCATTGCCTTAAGTTACTGTCATATGAAATAGAAAGTTTTCACAAAAAGTGCAGCCCATGATTCAGCAGCTTGTACAACCACCTTTAGCAGCAATAACTTGACTAATAATTTTCCATTTCACTTTATTTGGCTCTCACATTATTGTGGAGGAATTCTGGCCCACGCTTCAGTAAACTGAGGTTTGCAAACTATTTCAAACCGGCTGAGGTCTGGACTTTAGCTGACCTATTGCAACACATTGATCATTTTCGTTTTCAGTTGTTTTGTTTTGAAATCACTGTTTTATTGCGCGACCCAGTTTTTATCTAAGTTTCATCTGTTGGACAGATGGCCTCACATTTAACTCTAGAATGTGAGTTAAAACAAGCCCAAAACAAGATTTGTGCTTGTTTTGTGGGTGCAAAACAAGCCCGAATCTTCACCACTCCACCTCTGTGCCTCACAGTTGGTTTGAGGTGTTTGTGCTGATATGCTGATTTAGGATTTCTCAAAATGTGGTGTTGTGTCATTATGGTTAAAAAAATCGCCACTTCGGTCTCATCTGTCAGTGAGGTTGCAAGGTTGGTTGTTTTACCATTTTAATATCCACACGGTTACATAACTAACTAACTAACTAACTAACTAACTAAATACAAATATGAAAATATAAGGTTTACATTTGTTTTATATATGTTTATTTTTCCAAATTCAAGCTCAACAATAAGCAAAAGTTAAAAACTGAATCGTCCTTTCAGTTTGTGAAAATATTTAATCAAACCAGGGTTGGGACCACAGAGACCTAAACTGATGATGATCATATGTTTACAGCAGAGAAATTTCATCACTGTAAAACTCATAAACCCTGTCAGCTGAGTGGGAGATTTTTGACCAGTCAATTGACCCCCTTGAGGCAGCTCTTGACAAGTAAGATATAAATCTCATTCACCGGTTTCACCACCTTATTCCGAAACTGCACAAAGCAATAAAATTATTAAACTAAACCTGACCCACAAAAAACTCTTCTCAGTGGTATTGTGGGAACACAACTAACGCTTGTTTTCTGCAAAAGCTAAAGCTGTGTCATGTTTGATTTCAGGCACGAGGTTTTTTTGCTGTGTAGTCTGGAAAAGTTCACCACAAGTTGAACCACAGAAGTTTTCCACATCCTTCAATTTTTGCAAGTCATGCAACTAAATAAACTTCCCATATTGCCTCATATATATATATATATATATATATATATATTTGTCAACAATTTTTCCAGTTTTTATTGAAAATTATGCCATCTAATGTCTCATTGCACTCTGAAATGAAAGCATAGTACAAATAAGCAATTAAGTTAAAAAAGAAATCATGGACTCAATTTATAGACCAAAATGTATTCTAAAGTTTTGACTCATCTAAGTAGCCACCTTTGGCAGATGTAACAGCTGAAGAGCTTCTTTCTACAGTAGAAATCAAATATTCTTCAGAAAGTTCTTCCCATTTCTGTTGCAGAAGGTCTCATAAATGTGCAGCACGTGTTGGTTGCTTTGCTTTCACTCTTCTGTACAGTTAATCCTAAACCAGCTCGATGGCGTTTAAGTTTAAGTGCTGGCCGCTCCCTGTTTTCAAGCTTCCCATCTTGTTCTTTTTTCCTGAGGTAGTTCTGGCATAGCTTGGACTCATATTTTAGGTCATTGCCACGGGATGAACCCCTGACTGCTAGACGCATACCAGAGGGTATTGCATGGCGCTGAAGAATGCTGTTTGGTTCAGGGTGCCTCTCACTCTCTATAAGTCACCGACCCTGGATCCAGCAAACCAGCCTCAGACCATCACACTTCCTCCCTCATGTTTGACAGTCGATGCCACACAATGTCCCTTCGCCTACTTGATGGTGTACAAGGATCCTGTGTGATGAACCGAAGACTGTTTCATGACGTCTTAGCAATGGCCTTTTTGCTGCAACTCATCCTGTCAAAGCTGCAGCTTGAAGTCATCTGTTCACAGTTGAACCTGAGACTTGCTTACTACAACCACTATTAAGCTGTGCTTGAAGCTGTTGTCCTGTGAGCCACCTATCACGCAAGCTGTTAACTCTCAGAAACCTGTCCTCTGATTCATTTGTGGCTTTTGGGTCTGGCAGACCTCTTCCTGTCAGAGTTTGCCCCAGTTTTCCGAGTGCCCTTTGATGGTAAAGGAAACTGTACTCACTGACATCTTGACTTTCTTTGCAATTTCTCTGTAGGAAAGAACTACATTTTTAAATGTTATGATGGTCTGTCTCTCTTTCATTGTTAATGGCTTTTTTCTCCCCATTTTTGTAGCACACTACTTTCTGCAGTACAATACTGTTTAACTGATGCTCACTGGGGTATGGTACCACAGTGTGTCCCAACACTGCCTTTATGCAGACAGAGGGGATTGTAAGTAATCCAGGAAAGTTGGAACACCTATAGGAATTAGTAGCACCAGCTCTCAAGGTTTGAGCAACCTCCATTGCTGCAGAATAGCTTTAAATTGTTAACCCATTTTGTGTTCCTGCAAAAGGCCTTTTTGTATAATTCTGAAATGTACATTATTTTTCAGTTTTGGGTAACCATACCTTTTTTTTATTTAAACCTCTGGCAGTTAACCACTTACCTTTGTACCACTTAAAGCTAATCATTGGACTTGAATGACTTGAATTCCAATAAATACCTGCAAAAATTGGGGTGTTCTCAAACTTTTGACCAGTATTGTTGGCCATAATAGTTGATGTCTTTAAAGTTAACCCAATAACCTTTTTCTTAAATGTTAAAAAGAGCAATTTTTTCTTAGATTTCTAAACCAACATCAAGAACAAATGATTCAAACTGAGCGAATGTACATATAAATATTTGGGGGCATCTATTACTCGGGATAAAAAATGAATCATTTGTTTATATAAGAGTTCTGTGAATTATGATGTTACTCCCTTACTTTGTACTAATCTTATGTGACTGTGGTATGTGTCCTGCGCTAATCCAAATGAGTAAGAAAGGCCAAAACCCAATCAGCGTGTCCTTGAAATGTTTCATCAGACTCATTATTATGTTAGCCTAGAAATAAAATAGAAATAAAACATTCAACTTTAACTCCGCTTCTTTCCCCCCCTAACTTAAGCCAGGGGGCCATGGGAAGGAATTGGGCTTGCCTGTTTACTGTAGCACCTCACTGACCTTGCCTCCCTCACAGTCCTGACAACTACATTATTGTTACTGGCCACTATTGTTCCTCCCCCCCTCTTCAGCTCAAACAGCTGAAACAATACAACAGCCTCTGAGCTTTCTGCAACTCCTCCAGGTTTAATGCATGTTTGCAGAAATCTGTAATCATTAGAAAGATATAAAGGTGTTCACCCCTTGCAGCTGAATGTGCTCTTTCTCTGACCTGAACTGCTGCCCTGAAATAATCAACTCATTCCTGAGTCATTGTCATAAACTGAAAGGTTGGTTCGCTGTGTTGACATCAGAGAATTTTTTCCTTCAGAATCAGCAGCTGTAGAGAGGATGTGTGGCCAGTTCACCACAGCGTGACAGTCTGGTTTGGTTTAGCACTTCATGAGGAAAATTACCCTGTTGTAGCAGTCAACAGAGGGCGATAACGCGCTACGTTTATGGAACACCAGGGCTCTCAGTCATGAAAAAAATTCCATTATTTCCAGCAGTCAGGAACACTTGTTTAGGGAATAATTGTTTGGAAACATATTTTTTGAACAGAACAAACATTCATCAGCACAATGCACCTTTTATTAATCACTATTTATGCTGCGTTAACTTCTTCTAGGATTGTGTAGGTGTCTCAAAATGAAGACAGGTTGAAATTTGAGTGTCTGTGTTGTTCTGGCTTTTCATTG